ATAAACTTTGGAGCAGCGATCCCAACCTTGCTTCTCTAGAGAGCTTATCTGGCAAGACAAATATATCAGGGAACACAATAAGGACTCCAACTCTCTTCTCTAAGTTTTCTACCCCCTGGTGAACTGTCCTTTTCTCCAATTGGGTATGATTAAAGTTGTGGGTTCAAAATTTAGCCAATAACAACATCTTTTTAATGTTGGTTTGCCAAAACAGAACCAAAGCTTTTCTGGTGTTGTCATGATTGAAAGACAATTCATTTTTCTATGCACAAGGAACTACATTGACACTCAGAGGCCAGTGAGTTTTCATCCTTTAAATTTAATGATACCCTTATTGGCTTATGCTTAAAGTTAGTCAAGCAGAGGGGACTCCCCTTAAATTCAGGGAAAACTCACTTACAAAACTTTTCTAAGAAAATCAGAAGAGTATATACTTACTCGACAAAGGAAAAGAAACCCTGGTGGAACTGACAGTAACTAAACTGCTTAAAATGTTCTTTCAGTCATGCATTTAAATAAAGTATTTGTAAATAGGGAAGGGAGGAGGGGGTGAAGGGAGGGCAGGGGTAAGGGGAAAGAATGAGAACCAAGACCTGTCATGTAAAGGTACAAGATCCCAATGATGAATGCAACTGTACTGTACACCTAAAATGTACCAATAAACTCAATGAGAAAAAAAATAAATAAATATTAGATGAAATATGCATTATGATGGTGGTCTAGTCCTTTCTTTGATCAAGATCATAGACACACCTCCTGTAAGACATTGCCAAGTTGTGGAGAAGGGTTTGCCTGGGCTGTCTAGACTCTCTCACATATGAACAAAGACAGTAATTTAGGAGACGAAGGTCTAACACAAAAAGACATAAAAAATTACCATGGCTTTAAGATCTAGGCTCTTCAATAGGCACTTTGATGCCTTTGATTTGGCAAACTACCTTTGCAAATGGCAGCTAGAATCTAGTACATGAGCAAGATAAGCATTCTAGGTAATAACTACTTTTCCTACTAACGGAGGGTACACATCTCCACTGACCTTGCTGAATGTGTTGAGAAATCACTGAAGCATTTTTAAATGGCAGAAAAAGAAGTGTTTAAATCTGACTTTCTCCTTCTTTGAATATCAAGGCCCTGTAATGTATATATGACCCGACTTTGGACTGGTAAAGTCATCAATAATTTTATAATTCTATTTTGGCACTTTTTTGTTCTAGTTCTTCTTTTCAAATGATCCTTTTCTCCAAGTAATATAGTCAGTCTTACACTTCTGCTGAAGGAAATGTAAGAATTATTAAATTAAAAAAGATTGAAGTGACTGCAAATCTTTCTTTCAAAGATAATATAAGATTCATAAAAGAAGAGTCATAGGTAGCTTTTTTTCTATAATTTAAAACTTGTATGGTGTTTGTTTTTGTTTGTCTTATTTTGAGACAGGGTCTTACTATGCAGTTCAAGCTGGCCTTGAAATCACTGTAGCCCAGGCTGGTCTCCAACTCACAGTAATCCTCCTGCCTCAGTCTCCAGTGTTCTGGGTTTAAAGGCATGCAATGCCACACCCAGCTTTTAAGTGTTAATTTTTGAATCCAGGAGATTCATTTGCAGTTTTCATTTGTGGTTTTGTATGAACATCATTAAGAATTTGAAAATCTTTTGTTATTTTATTCTTTATACTGTAAGATTTTTCTCTACCTTGAGTTTGTCTAATTTAACATCAAAAATATTTAAGCAAAACTCTTTAATACAGAAATAAACTAAAAGTCTAGATATGCCTCCTAAGAAAAGTCATTATATTAATGAGGAAAATAAGGTCTTCTTTCTAGGACAAAACACGGAGGTTGAGTTTTAGCAGGTCTGAAAATAACATTCTGATTTGTATTTATACTGAACAAAAAGTCATAAAAGCCAAACGACCTCTCCGTTACTGAAAATATTTTTTCATATTCTCAAAACTGACTCAGGATGTCCCAGATTCTAGTCTTTCTAATGAAGACAGTGACTTTCGTGGTCCAGGGAAAATCGTCTAAGGAGATAGAGTCTCTCCTAAGAAATTCAGAGTATCACTATGCCAACAGAAAAACATTTTCCAAAGGAAAAATAAGTAATAGGCCTGGAAGGAAAATTTTCCCTGAGCAACTGTGATCTCCTCACAACAGGAACATTTGCTTCTTAAGGAGAAATAACAAAATACATATAATTATTCAAGGAGGAATGCGAACCTTGGTGCTTTGTCCCATTGTTTGATCACAATATAAATCTAAATACACATGTACTATAGAGGTTCATTTTCTTGGAGTGTAGAGGATTAGCTCCCAAACTCTAAGCATAACTTAAAGATAGATGAAGTGGATCGATTTAGTTATCGCAGAGAAAACCAATCACAGAGCTGCTCCATTCACCCCACTTTGTATGGGTGCATGTGTGTGTGTGTGTGTGTGTGTGTGTGGATTACACTTAATGTATCGGGGAACATGACTCCATCCTGCTAACCTAAAGCAACAATAATTGAGGAGACGTCATTGTATTTCTTCTGGTTAATATTATAAACAATAAAATGCCATGCCCTAAAGAAGTGATTAGCATTTGTGAGTCTGAAATGCGTCCCACCAGACAGCTGGCTCATGTATATGGCAGGCAACAAGTCAGGTACGTTGCCTTGGGAACAGCTCAGAACAAGCATTCCCGCATGAAAAGGGAAAAAAGAATCTCATATGCTCCTTTTGAAGAATCCAGATCTATACTCTGGAGACAGCACAGCTTGTGTTCCAGCATTTTTCAGTTATACTGAAATTCTAAGCTACAGGAAAATAGCATGCAGATGTGCTGTTTGTGAAGTGAGGAGGCTTTTTCATGCCAGAGTCTATAGCTAGTATAACAGTCATATTTTTTAAGTATTAGCATTATATTTTCCACAAACTGTCACTCATGTATAACATAAACAACTAAAAAGTAAGGCAATAAATATCAGCACCTCCAAAGTATCCACTCTTCAATTAAAAATTTAAACAGTAAGTACCTGCATCTTTGATACCTCTGATTAGCACCCGAAGGTCCCCCCCGCCCCCCGCACAGCACACATATCTGGTGTTCATGATGCAGATCAGACCATGGCTACGAGGCGCAGGAGACTTTGCAGGGTGATCCTGCGCCATCCAGGAGGTGGCTCAGTGGGCACCAGTTCTGAGTTTTACTGTTCATTGTATTTAATCAGTAAGCTGTATTTTATTACCCAGAAGACCTTGATGAAGCAAGACACCACCAATGGATGACTTCTGCCATAGAAACGTGTTTCCTTTAGAAGTTTTATAAATGCTTTTAAGCCATCAGTGAATCACTGAAGAGAGACAAGAATGTTAAAGGCTTTTTGAGTAGTGTAAGAGTTAGCACCTCCCCAAAATGTCAGCAGCCACTTCCCCGATCTTCAGCCTACTCCAGGCTTCCCACTGGTTCGGTCAGTTTGTGTCCTTTATTTGGCAGTGTTGGTGTTTGTTTGCAAACACAGCAATAAGCATATCTGATGTACTTACTACTGAAAAACTGAAATACACTATATGGCGTAAGAACTAAAGTATGAGTTTTTTTTAAAAAATATTTTGTCTAAATGCTTTATTCCAAGAGTGGTGGTCTTAGCTAAGAAATATTGTCTTTTACTTTGTAGAAGTCTCCAGTTTCATAAGTTACCTGTTGTTTTTATTTTTAAATGTACTATACATGATTTGAGCTCCCCTCTTTACTTTTTCTTTCTCTTTTTTTTTGTAGCACTGGGGATCGAACTCGGGCCCTTGTGCTTGTGAGGCAGGCAGTGCCACCTCTGAGCTAAATCCTTTACTTCTTCACAAATGCCTTTTTGGTGCTTTTCTGGTAATATTTTAAGTTTTATTAAATACTATTACTTGGTTATATCAATGTATACATTTACGAAGTCACATATTTTTCAATACCAACAATTGATGTTGGTTTATTCCATACTAGCACATTCCATAAAATTACACTGCAAAAGATTTCCCACGTTTGTTTTACATTCCGCACGTATGGCTTTTGAATAGCAGTCTTGATGAATTCCAGCTGGTTTAAATATGCAGAACAACTCTTATATCAGATTCCTTTCCATTCTTATTGTATTCACTGAGGCCCATTTTAAGTGGGCCACCTGGTAGGACAAAGCTCTAATATATCTGCACAAGAGAAAAACAAAAACTAATCACTCTGCCAAACTTAAGACCATCTTCCCTACTATATGATAATTAGACTTCTAATACGAGTGAAAAATAACCCCAGTTTTGGGAAAATTTAAATTAAAATTTAAACATCCTTCACAACCCTCTGGACTATTAAATTGCTCATTTATCTATTGTAACAACATTAAAATAATTTCCACCATTCATGTGCATTGCGTGTTTCCATAAATCTATCACACATATTTTGTGCTCCCCTCCACTCCCCACACCCTCCACCCTGCACCCAGCTGGAATACATCAAGAGTGCAGAAGCCAAGGCAAATGTTGACCCCACCCTCCTCCTTCCATTTTAAGGCACCTTCAAAGCCAGAGCACTGATCTAGCTCAGTTTCTCCAAGGAAGCCAGCCATACTTCTATTTAAGACACCAGTTTGGGTTTTTTTTTTATAACCGCACATAAGAGCTCTGATTTTGGTCAAAAACTTCAGCGGCACTGAATTTCATCAGATTGGGGATTCTTCTGCAGAAGAATCTTCATTATGAAACGTTCATAACCTTTGCTTTCAGCATTCATCTCATTCTAACAACAAGTTCTCTGAACTGTCCAATCAGCCCTGAAGAACGTAAATCTTCCTTCCAAAAGGTCAAGACAGAAAAGCCCATTATGGTCACCCAAACACATATAGCCCCCACCACTTGTACACCTCATTAACAGCAACCTATGGTCAGTCATTCCAACATGCATACAGACACTCGGCGAGAGATACATGCAGGTGCGGGTTGGTGTGGGGGGACAGAGGGGCCGCAACAGGACAAAGAACTTACTTTGTTGTTCCCCTGTGCGTGTAGCCATGAGGAAAAAAAAAAAAAAGAAAATGTATGTTAAACATAGATTTATTTTAAAATCATGAGGTCTTTCTTACTAGAACAGAATCAAAACAAATCATCCGAATATTCACTGACATTGCATAATGTACATCTAGCATCCAGAGCTCATGGACAATCCCAGAATCCACGGAGGTTAAGTGAAATCATACGTTTATAACATCAGAAATTATTACAGAGACTTCCCTCCCTTCTCTCTATTTGGAATACCTGGGGTATGGGAACCTGGCCAGAGAGAATTGGTTTGCATCGATAATAAGCGAGCTGCTAGCATGAAAAGCAGTGTGTTGGCCTGCTCTTTCCTGACAGCCCCTCCTCCAACATGCCAAGCAGTGGAAAATTCCATCAGCCAGTGCATTTTTAAACAAACACTGCATCCTTAGTTTCAAAGAAGGTGGAATTAAAGAGAGAGAGAAAGGAGGAAAGGAGTGGGTGGTTCTGGGGAGACAGCATAAGCGGGACCAAGTCATGACCTCCATCTGTGCCATTCCTTTAGTTTATAAATGACGAGTTTCGTCTTGCTTTGGCATGGGAAATGAAGACTGTATAGTGGGGCTGCCGCCAAAATAAACACTGGTTCACATTCAAGAAAACGGACTGGAAAGGTTAATTACAAAAATGTAGTCCTCTCTAAAAGCGACACTCTGGATAGAGACAGAGCAGCCAGTGGCCGGCGGAGGGCAAATGGATCTCCTATTTCAAACTGGAGCTGCGAGAGCATGATTTATATCAAACAATTTAACACACATATGGCCTAAAAAAATAAAACAGTGATTCATTACTCCCAGGGCAGCCCGAGTCCTTGCAAGTTCAGATCCTGTGGGGGAGACGGGATGGGATATGGCCCAGGAACAGTTCTGAAGTCTCCTCGAAGGGGCCCAGGAGGCATTTCTTGCTGAGACGTGGGGTAGAAGAGAGAAAAGAGCAGTGTATGCATCGGTGGGAGAGCCTGGGACAGCGTGGAGTAACAGATCAGCTTGGAGATGCGGCATTTAGTTTTCAGTTAAAGACGTGGAGGGGAAAATCCATACAGAAATGTTCCGGGAGAATGCTAAGGCAGCAGTCCCAGGACAGGGTGTTTCCTGGAAAACAATGCCAACTGGGATTGGGGAAATGCCTCATCCAGGGGCCACCAGGGGCCACGAGGGCCATCATATTTCATAAAGAAAACACTGACAGAAAAGTGTGGAGAAGCTTCTTGGCACCGGGGTGCCATAAGATAATCGTTAACACGCCAGCTTATCTGAGACATAAATAATGCTATAAGAATGGACGAAGGAGGAAAATGAATCCTTTCTAAAGATTATGAAAACTGTTCAATGAGGCAATAAAGAGACCACTGGGAGTTTTATCACATGTAAAATACTATTTTAGAGAATAATGGGTCCCTGGTTCTTCCAAGAAGTGCAATATTACTGAAAATACCTCAAACAGATGGAGTTTATTGCATTCCACACCCTGCAGCTTTTGATCTACCAAATAAGTTTCAGGAGTTCAACCAAGTGTTTTTGCACAATAGGGGATGACTGGCTTCCCTAGTCTGTGACAGATGGTTCTGTTTGTAGTGGCAACAGTGATGTCACAGAGTAGGAGGCCTTAATCCTTGAACACAAGAAACACACAAGCACAGACGTGGTGTGGCTTGGCCATTTCTCATTTCATTCAGTCATTTCTCAATCTTCTATTTTGCGAGTGGAGAGCAGTCATGAATGGTAAATGGTAAATGCTTTATAAGTTGCCCCATGACTCTGGCTCACAGTAATTTTAGTTTAGGACCCTAAAAGTAGTCCCTCTGCAGAATTTAGCTGCTCTGTGTGTATTTCTGTGGAAAAAGCTAATTATAACGTCAAGGGTAGTGGGGCTAAGTGCTGGTCATTTTAAATCCTGTGCTGGTACACTGCTAAATTCACGCATAAAAGTGGTCAATCACCACATTAATAAATATTTGTGAAGGCCCACAGCCCATCCTCTTCTCCCTGCTGAAATGATACAGAGATCCTTTTCCCTATTTGACACGGGGGAAAATTCAGTTAAGAGTCTATCCAAAAGGAATTTCTGAAGTACCAAGAGGACCACATTGCAAGCTGGTTTTAACCCACAAAGCAATCTTAAAGGCATCAATTATGGCTGAGAGACTCCCGAGTTCAGAGGCAAAGTGAAGTTCCAAAGTGTTTCACTTTCTCCTGTGATTATTTTTTTTTCCCCAGAGCTGGGGAATCAGACTCAGGCCTCACACACACTAAGCTAGTACTCCACCACTAAGCTACACCCCCAGCTCTCCTGTCACTCAACAGAAATAACACTCAATAGGGGAGGATCATTCGATGTACATAGCTCATATAAACCTCTTAAAAGCTCTGATGTGTCTGATATAATAAATATGCATAACTGAATTTGTACCCAATTGTTTCCAGGGTACATGTGGACCTCAGGTTGCTTCTTTCAGGTGGCCCGCATGCCAGTGTAGGAGTAGAGGCTGGGGAATTCTCACTTCCCTTGACAGCCCCTGGCCTCAGCCATGTAGCCTCCTGGGCTGGCCCGTCCCCTCAGGCAGCATCCCGACTCCCTTTAAACAACTCAGCCTCCTCAGCCAACAGATGAGGAAATTCTCCTCCTTGAATACCCAAATCCCATTGGCAGTTTCCAAAGAAAGGCTAAGTACTAAATAGGGAAGTACTTGCTCCTTGCACACAAGGATGACAGTGAAAAATAACAGTGAAGGCCATGTGGCATTGAATACTTTCAGTTGAGGGCACTGAGCTCACTGTGATGCACAAAACCTATACTTAACCCTATAAATCACTCTGAGGAAGGAGTTGTTATTTTCAAGTTCAGAAAAGAATAACTACCTCATGGGTTAGGTAAGGTGCCTGAGCTGCATGACTAATATTGGCAAGGTCAGGATTCCAGTGCCAGTGGATCTGACTTAAAATCTTTTGCAACCACTGTACACAGTATGGTTCAAAGAATCTGATCTTGGAATTCTTCAATGTTTACATACTAGTCATATTATAAGCCAACAAAACTGTGTCAGAAAAGTCCATTGTTTATCTTATCATGGTCTTTATATACTCCACCAAATTCACATTTATTTGTAATCACATTTATAGAAAAAATATAGGCTATACATCAGTAAAATAATCCATTAAGAGGTCATTCATAGTATACCATACACACATACACACACTAATTGTATCTCAGGCTCATCCGTGAAAATAACAATAAAACATCTTTACTTAGAAACACTGTAAAGTCCTATATGCTTATTTAACAATACGGAAATGTAGTTAATATTTTCACTTTAATAGCCATGGGAATAGCACTAAATGCAAATTCAGGTCGAAGTATATTTTTAAAACATTAAGGTTGTTTAGAAGTATCAGGTGGCTGATAAAATGCTCAATTTGTGGCTTAGAGAGTCATCTGTAAGTCACAGAATAAGTAGGAAAGTGAGCCTTGTACTCCTCATTTCCATTTTAGGGCCAAATACTCTATTCTGCTCAGATAAGAAGTCTACATTTTGCTTTAAATCCAGAAGAATTAAGAGAGTGAAAGTAATTAGAAAATGCACATGCAATTATAGAAAGTGATTAGAATATGCACAAGAGAAAAGAGTTGGGCCTCTGCATTTACACAGATATTCACTGAATTTTTTTATCATGCAAAAACTATTTATTTGTACCCCTTTTTTTCACTTGTGGAATTTGTATAAAATAGGTATTGTATCTTTTTCATCTATGAATTTCTGGAGTGCACCATAATAGTAATGCCTAAAGGGAAGGAAAGAAGGAAGGGAAAGGGTTGGACCCGAAAGAGAAACAATTTTTTTAGAAAACATCAAGACAAATGACTTAAAAGACAAAGAAAACAGTGGAGATGAACATTTTGATAGGCATGATTTAAGAAGATTTTGTCACATGGAGGTGATAAAAAAATATTGATGTTATTAAAAATGTGTACATCCGGGACAAGGGGAAAAAATGAGAACCAAGGCCTGTCATGTAAAGGTACAACATTCCAATGATGAAGGTAAATGTACTGCATACCTAAAATGTACCAATAAACTCAATAAAAAGAAAAAAAATGTGTACGTAATAAAATAGAAAAATTATCCTGCTCTAAACATCAATTTATTCAAATTTGGGTGATCGTTACCTAAGTGATGTCAAATTTATACAATTTTAGAAAGTGATGCATGTAGGGTCGGGGATTTAGCTCAGCTGTTCAGTGGTCTGCCTTGCAAGCGCAAGGACCCGAGTTCAATCTCTGGTACCAAAAAAAAAAAAAAAAAGTGATGCATGTAGAAATTTATTTCCAGTTAGAAGAAAAATATCCGTGCAGAAAGCAGAATTTTGTTAATTTAAACTCACATCCATACATGATACATAAATGTTTCATTATTAGGGTAGTGTCTGACAGATTTGATGACTGAATGGTTTATCAATAAAGACGCAAAAGGATACACTTCTAAAGCCCTAAAAACCTAGAGGCGTCTATTATGAGGTTAATTTGACTTTGTCAAATGTTTCTAACTGAGGAATATTTACCTAAAACTGATTCTTCCCACAAATCTAAGAGGTTTAACAAAGTGAACTTTGTAGAAAAGCATTCTACTTGATTGATTTCAACAGTTAGCTTTCATTAAACATGTGAAAATCAAGCCATTGTTTAGCATAATCTGTAGGACTACGTCGTGCATAAAAAATGTGAATACTGTTTATGATGAAAACTGAGAAAAGCAGCACTCCTGGCACACTGCCAAGTGTAATTTCCTGTCTTCTCTCTGGTGTGTAGTAAGAACTTCTTTGTCTTGATATTCCAAGCAATCGTACCAAATGTGTGTTTATAAACAAATGAAAACGTGCAAAGAAAACAGATTTTGTGGAACATATCTAGATATGCTTATAATTGAGTATTCTGATAAAAAACAGAAAATAAAATTTAGGCTGTCTTCTTGGTTAGAGCTATGGAAACAGGAAAATACAGGTTTATAAAACAGTCCATTGGGGGATGGATAATTTTGCTTTTCCATGACAGTTTTTCAATTACAGAAAAACATATTAAATAATCATCTTAAATAGTGCAATTAATATAGCTTTAATTTACAAAATCATGACTTAAACCATTTTTACAAACACTATAGTTACATGTAAATAAGACACATGCCTAAATATATGTACTTATTTATCCCCATGCGTATATGGAAAAGAAAATAGCATAAAGTATTTATAAACTCTCTGGGCTACATTACAATAGCTACAGAATTTTAACCTTCCCCTAGCTGTTAAAAAAAAAAAAGTCATTTGTAATGGAATTGAGCCTTCTACTACCAGGAGTAATTATTAGTAGTATTATTATACACAAAGGCAGAGTGCTCGCTTGTGCCTACCCAACTTAATGCTTCCCATGTTTTATCTCATTGGATCCTATCAACCACCTTATGTGAGGCTGTTATCCTCATTTCAGAAATAAGAATCATGAAATGTAAAACAACTGGGTAAGCTGCCTAGGATGTCATGGCTTGTAAGTGAACATCTGGAATTTGCAGCAAGGTGGTTAGACACCCATGCTCTGCTACTTCTCATAATACCCAGTCATCACAGGCTTTAAAAAATGTAAATCTTATCATGGCACTAACTGGATCGACATCCTCTAATGGCATCTCATTTCATTCACAGTAAAATCTAAAATACCATCCATTTCCTTCAGTTGGCCCCTGACCACCCTCTTGAAGACCAGCTGGCCCGTCTGTCTCCCTCACTGTGCTCTGGACACACAGACTTCCCTGTCATTTCTCTAAGACACATATGACCTTGGCTATGCACTAGCTCTGTCCTTGCCAAGAATCCTTTTCTTCATCCTTTCATAGCACTGACTCCCTACTTTCCTTGAAAAACCTACTTTAATGCTGACTCCTCAAAGGGTCTTCCCTGGTTATCTTTCCTAAAATGTAGCTCACCTGCCCCTTACTCTCACTGTCTGTCCCTTAAACTTCTTTAATTTTTAAAAATAGAAATGATCATGTCCTTAAATAAGGCTATATAATTAGAGTTACTCATTCATATGTTGGGTGACTGTTCCATTGGAACAAGACATTGGTTTTTACCTGTCTCACTGGTGCCCAGGATGATAAAAAAGCATATGCTCAAAAAGTTTTTGTGGAATGAATGAATTAAAAAAATCAAGTATATAGCATTTTTAATATATGATATTTGTGAAATTAAACACTGTCCACCAGTGGATATGGAAGAGTAAAAATAATTAGAATAAAAAATAAAGTAAAAGCGGTAGTTCAAAATGATTTCTTCGAAGTAGTCTCTAGGATGGCATATTTTGATACAAATCTATACACACACCATAGAAGGAGAACTGGACAACAATTATGAAAATAGTGTACAAATACCTCTGTAACTCAGTAACACAGTATCAGCAAAAAGAATCATACTGAACTTTCCTTTAGAGCGTACATGGCACGTTGCAGAAGGTGCATTGTCTTGGATGCTAACCAGACAGACATAGGATGGAATGGGCTTAGGAGGTGCATGTGTAAATTAAAATAACAGCAAAGAGAACATTTTGGTAGAAATCCTTAATCCTTTATGCACCTGAAACTCTAAAGTTCCAATGTAACCCTAGGGATGTGGTCAGGCATGAAGTTCTTCTCCAGATATCTTCCATTGTCCCACATTGAACCTATATTTCAGACTTTGTCTTGAAAAGACTTTATCTGTATTTTGAGCCTAGAGAGTATGAACTTGTGCATGATCAGTCTATAAACATACTAAGCACCACAAAGTTCAAGGGGGACTAAGTCCTCAGGACTCAATCTTGGTACTGTAGTTCAAGGGAGAAACCTGGACAGTATAAAGACTCAAGGGGAGCCACGCGTAGAGATCTGCTCTTCTGCAGAGTGTGTTTAATGGTGGCTGTGCGCGTGACAGGTGGGACTCCTGATGTCCATGCTCAGACCAGTCTGTGTAATATTACCTCTTCTGCAGAGCACAGAGACAGGCTCTGTTTATTAACATGAATGAGAGAAGCGCCTCTGAGACACTTGAAGTATATTAATAAAGATAAGTGGGAAGAGTAATTTTTTTGTTCTTTCCACTCAAGATGACACTAGCCAGAGTAAAACATGCATAATGAAGGCAGAGTTTTATAAAACTAAGTACATTATAAAAATGTGAAATATTGGCACTATGATTGATGATGTACTCCTTGTATTAATATGAAAACATCTGTGAAATAACAGAGGGAAAGGTAATTTTTAAATAAGATGGAAAATTTTACCTTGGTCTGAGATTGCATGAATTATGTTTTAGGGCAGAATAGGGCACTCTCTTTAAAAATACACTGGTTAACTTTTTAAAATAGAAATATGATACAGAAAAAGCATTGTGAAAAGTGATGTAAGGAGAATAAACCAAGTTATCAGTTAAAAGTTTGCTAAATTAAGCCAAAAGAAAACAATTTTCTCTAGCATATAGCATGTAGCAAGATACAGACACAACTTACTAAAGATTTATCAGGATAGACACCAGCTCTTAGTAGAGATGCTTTCCAGCTGTCCACATCCTCCTGGGAATCACATGCCAGCTCCAGGAAACGATAGTCTTTGTATACATTCCTAGAGTTTAAAATAAATCACACTTTTAGTTTTAAACCAAATTAAGAATGATTTTTATATCACTGCTGACAATATAAATGACAGTCCAAAAGGCAGCTCTCTAATAATCATTAAAGGAAAACTACCACCACCACAAAAGCATTTGTATTTTAAAATAATTAGTAAATTCCTATATGTACTTATGACATATTTTTAAAACTCACATCAAAGAGCTCAGTTATTTGCACTATGGAGCAATTAAATTAGCAAAGGAAACACAAACATATTCAATATCGCCCACTGTGGGCCATCTGATGGGGAATTGTACTGTGGGGAAGGAATCGGCTAATGCGTAGTAATTAGATCAATTTTCTGAAGCTATTTCACAAGTCTGATTGAATAAATAGCTCATACAACCTTTCAGTGCATGGCAATAAGCTCATAACTTAGAAGTCTATGCTAGGTTCAAAATAGAAATGCTCATCAAACTGTGAAAAGGGAAGACGGATATCCAGTGTTTAATAGGGTGAGGTGCCTCTACACATGATTTATAAGTACATTTGTTTTCCTGATAAAGTAATACATAAGAAGCAATGCATACCCATGTTGACAGTTTGCAAGCTGGATAAAAGAGTAAAAATGGTAACAATCAAAACATACTTTATCTGTTTGTTCTATATATTTTCACGCAGTTGAGGTTTCCTCTTTCCGCTCTTCTCTCCTTCCTTCCCCCTCTAGCTCTCTATTAATTTTATGTACTGATTGTTTTGCTAACTCCTACATCATAGTCATTTATTTCTACCATTTAAATCTTTATAAACATCAAATTATACGGTACAACATTCATCCATGTAAATACATGACATCTCCTTCACCTCCTCCTAATACTAGATAATTAAATCATTTCCTTTTTGTTTTTCCTATCATAAATAGTGCTTAGCTGACTAGTATTCATGAGCATTTGACACATTTATTACTATTATTTTCTGAGAAAAGAGTTCTACACATAGGGTTATAAGGCCAAAGCAAGACCATTGTAAAGACACCAATACACATTCCCATCACCTTTGAAGAAAAATAGCCCAGTTTAGATAGGGAACTATCAGTATATCAGATTATCGGTCTTTTTCTCTCCTTACTCTTTCTCGGTATCTCACTCAGGCTAACAGCCCCAATTCTCCCTAATATGGGAGGGCTTGCACATTTGTATCTCCTGTCTAAATCTGCCCCAGAGCCCCAAGGTCATCCTGTCTGATGACTTCTCCACTTGAGTATTTCAAAGGAACCTTGACAAACAACTCAACGGGTGATTTCTAACTTGGTCTTCTTCCCGTATTCCCTTTTCAAGCAGCAGTTGTGCAATACAGATCAACGTTTCTTTTTACACCTTCCACTCTTCTCTTCCATTTTACTACCTAAAAAATTATCCTTTTTAAAAATTGGTGGCCCCCTCATTATCATCTTTCTCTTGGGTCTCTTACATTTGTTCTCGGCACTGAAACCACCCGATCCTCTAAACATGCTAATCAGCTGTTTTATCCCTGGAGTCCAACTCCAATGGCTACCTGCTTTTAAGACTAAGACCACAGTCCCCATGATGGCCTACAAAGTCCCTACAGGCTGGCCATCATTACTTTCCTCTCCAGCATCTCTTCACAGTTTGTTCTTTCTGCTCCAGCCACATTGGCTGTCTTTTAGGTCCTCAAATGTGCCGTGCTTACTCCTAGTACCTTTGAATATGCTGCTTTCTTTCTATCTCTATTCACAGTCAACTTCTACTCTTTCTTGGGATATCAACTCCATCACAGCTTCCTCAGAAATCACTTCTTCAACTGCCCAACCGAGTCAGCTCTCTTCTTTCATGTTTTTCACATTTGTATTTACCTTTTGTTCTTAGCTCTTATCACAAATGGGATTACAGAATTAAGTATGACTTCAGAATCATAGCTGTGATTATTTCAGAATTATACATTTTCTCTCTGTTTTTTCTCTTTGCTTTCCTTTTTTCCTCATTGCTTTTTCTTTTGCTCCCTACTCACTCCTTCCTTCTTCCCTCTCTCTGTTTCTATCTATCTATCTATCTATCTATCTATCTATCTATCTATCTATCTATATCTATCTATCTATCTATCTATCTATGTATCTATTTATCTCTGCAGAGGAGAGCAAGTACATTATTTTAGTAAAAGGCAAAAGATTTATGCGATCTGAAGAGAAACCAGAATATTGCAATTATGTTATTTTTACATTACCCATTTTATCCCCAGAGGTCAGGCAAGTTCCCTATCACATATCAACAATGACTGAGATACTGGGGCCTTTTCACAAGTATAAGACAAGTCCACCTAAAAGACTCAGCATTAGACCTATGCTATAATGAATGAATGAAAATAATAGGACACTTAAAGATATCTGACATCCAGAGAGAGAGAGAGGGAAAGAATAATGAAAGCAGTCGTGGGAACTTTGGGGGAAAAGCAGAAGACAGAAAAATAACAAATGTGTGAAGAGCTATACAGTATGCACAGACTTCCTGAAACTAAGATGCAAGCTTGTTAATTAAAACATCCAATAGATAAACTATAGGAAAGAAAAATCACTGTTGAGATTAGAATTAGGGGCAATCAGAATTGAAGAGAAAAAGTGGAAAAATACAAAAAGGGAGAGATGATACACATGTAAATAAAATACCCAGACTACCTAAACCTATAAATATCAGGAGTCTTAGAAAAAGAAAAGAAAGGTAGGAGGAAAGAAATAATTATATTAGAAAACTATTTTAAAAAACTTACCCTGAGTTTTATAGAAAACGGGATCTGTACATCAAAAGTGCAACTTCAAGAATACCACTTAGACACCACTTAGGCATAGACTAACACAATTCCTGAATTCTGAGATAAAGAAAACATTTTAAAGAATTGGAATCCTACACTCATCAAGATATCCACATACCCAATCTGAGAAAAATCCTAAAGCAGGCTTAGGGTTAGTACAATACCAAATGAACCCATAGTGTGTTCAAGGTGAGGGAAGATTAAGAGGGGAGAAAACAATGGCATGGAATAAATCTTGCAAATAAAAAGAAATAATAAAAATTTAGAAATGCACCATAAAAATGTTAAATTGAACATTGACGTGAAAGAGACATATTTCAATAGAAACTTTAATAGTCTAACAGGTGGGAGTGAGTAAGAAGAATAAAAATGTACCCAAGGTCCCCTCTGGCACATGCAGGAATGGAGAGGAGAGAAGCAGAAGTATCTCATTATTAGGAACAGTAGGTTAGTAGAGAAGAAGAAGAAATATCTCTCTCATGGAAGAAATAATTGATACTTTGCTTCAGGTAACAATGATCTATTTAATATTAGTGAAATAAAAATATAGAAAGAAAAACAATTAATTATTTTTTAGTAAATCAACTAGAAAAGAAAAAGAACAGAAAAAGAATCAACTTGACTATATAAATTTAAAATAATAGAGCAGAAGTAAAATAAAATATATAAATAATTAAATTAATACAATTGAAGTGAATTCTCTACATTTAGTCACATATTTTAGTTTAAAAAAGAAACCAAGGATGTGGTCCAGTGGGGCCATGCCCGATTGGCAAGTGCAAGGACTTGACTTTGATCCCCAGTATCACAAAAACAAAACAAAACAAAAAACAAAAAAACTCCAAAACAATGCCCCCCAAAAAACAAATTGTAAATTAAAAATTGTCAGTAAAGAACAAAACAAAATTTAAAAACATGAATGGCAATATTAATAGCAGACAAGGTGGAATTTAAAAGTATGGAACAGAATAAACAATATGAAAACACTGAATAGGAATATTATATAAAATATAATTTATAAAGATAAGAAACAGCACATAAAGCTGTTTGTACTCAATAATATAGTATATAAGTACACCAAGCAAGTGCTACTAAGGATACACATGGATTCAATATATGTAATAATAAATTGAAGTATAAATACAGACAAATTTGAGTATAACTTTCAAATTAGATGGTTACAGTAGGCAAAATTCAGTGTATATATAAGAAGTAGTATAATTACAAAAGTTCTTTTAAATGTATTTTATTATTGCATATTAATTTTACAAAATATGGAGTTTAAATGTGGTATTTTCATACACATATATAACATATTTTGAAAATCCCTCATTATTCTCCATTCGACCCATCTCCTCCAGTTCCTTTCCTCTTGTTTAATAACAATTTCCCACAAAGAAATCCTTTTAATGCAATCCTTTATCCCTTGGCTAGAAGACACAGATTTTTCATTATGCACAAAACATATATAAGAATCAGTCATATACAACACATATATACAATAACTTCCTTAACAAACTTCAAAAAGGAGATGCTATCCAAATTATGTTCTTTGATCACACCTCCCAAAATTTTAGACAAAAAAGGTAAGAAAGAAAAACTTAGTAACATATGCCTAGACAATCACTGTAAGACACACACACACACACACACACACACACACACACACACAGCCACACACTCACATATACACACACACCCAAAAATAAGTAAACAATTTATATGAAGGTAATAATAATATAAAGATTTTATAGCCAAACAGTGGAGCCTAAAAACAAGGATTTAGGGATGTGAATACATTCACCGTTTAGGAAAGAGAAAAAGTTGGGGGGAGAAAATTATAAGGTGATTTAAAAACAAAAACAGAGTTTAATGACATTAAAGCTATAATTAATGAAACAGGAAGTGTGAAAACATAAAATATAATAACATCCACAAGTGTTTTCTTCTTATCAATAAATAAAACATATACAATCCTAATTAAAAAAGAAAGTGGAAGAAAACAGTATAAAGATCACAAATGAGAAAGGATAGGATACATAACCACAAATATAGAAAAGACAATAAATTAAACTTAAATATTATCTACAACCTTAGGGTAAAATTAAAACTAGAAGAAATTAATACTAAAAAAGTATATAAATTACCAAAATTAACTCAGAAAGAACTGGAAAATCTAAGTTCTTA